CCATTAAGAATGATGTTGGCCATTGGTTTTGCATAAATGCCCTTTATTATGTTGAGAAATTTCCCTTCTATACCTATTTTATTGAGAGTTTTTATCAGGAGTGGGTGTTGGACTTTGTCAGATGGCTTTTCTGCATCACTTGAAATGATCATATGGTTCCTTTCTTTTCCTTCTATTTAAGTGGTGGGTTACGTTGATTGATTTTCTAATGTTGAACCATCCTTACATACCTTGTATGAATCCTTGGTTGTGGTGTATTGTTTTTTTGATATGCTGCTGAATTCTGTTGGCTAGAATTCTGGTGAGAATTTTTGCCTCTGTATTCATGAGAGAGATTGATCTGTAATTTCTTTTTTTCTGGTATCTTTGACTGGCTTTGGTATCAGGTTATGCTGGTTTCATGGAATAAATTTGGAAGTGTCGCTTCCTTTTCTGTGTTCTGAAATAGTTTGAGCTCTTTTTTGAATGTTTAGTAGAATTCTCCAGTGAAGCCATCTGTGCCAGGGCTTTTTTTTGGTTGGGAATTTTTTTTATTACCTTTTCAATCTCTTCTTGTTATGGGTCTGTTCAGATTTTCAACATCACTTAGTGTTAATTTAGGTAGGTAGTGTATTTCTAGAAATTTATCTGTTTCCTCTAGGTTTTCAAATTTGTTGGAGTGTAGTTTTTTATAATACTCTGTTATGATCCTTTTTATACCAGTTGAGTCTGTTTCAATGTCCCTCATTTCATTTCTTATTTGGGTTATTTGCATCCTCTACTGTTTTTCTTTTGGTAGTCTGGCCAGTGGTTTGTCGATCTTGTTGATCCTTTCAAAGAACCAACTTCTGTTGATTCTTCTGTTGTTTTCTATTGTCTATTTCATTTGTTTCTGCTCTGATCTTTATTATTTCCTTTGTTCTGTGGCTGTGGGCTTTTTTTGGGCTGTTCTCTATTTGTTCGAGTTTTGTAGTTAATGTTTTGAGTTATCCCTTTCTTCTTTTTTGATGTGTGCATCTATTGCTATAAATTGTCCTCTGAGCACCGCCTTTGGTATGTCCCAAAGGTTTTGGTATGATGTGTTTTCATTCTTGTTTGATTCCATCTCTGATTTCTTCTGTTACCCAGTAGTTTGTAAGGAGGGTGTTATTCAGTTTCCTTGTAATTGATTTTTTTCCTTGGTCTTCCTGTTAGTTTCTTTCTTGAAGGCACTTGTATTACCGCAGCGT